GCGGACGACGAGAGAAGAGCCATAGAAATCGGGAAGCAACGAGCCTACGTCGAAGAACATCGGAATTTGGTGCGCTCCTCGCTAGGAGAACCTCTACAAACGCACAAATACGGCGAATCCATCGAAGATACCATCAGCAGACTGTCTTCCAGATCGGGATCCAGAGGATCCTCCAGGACTTCGTCCAGCGAACGAGGTTCGACAGCAACTGAAGGCACAACACGGCATCCGCCTCATCGACCAGCAGAACGTCGACCACCAGAACATCCCCATGCAAGAAGACATACTACTACTTAAAAATGTTCATCAATAAATCATCTCGCCCAAGATGCTTCTTTTAGTTAACAAAAATTATCGAATTAATCTTAGCTGAATTCAAGGATATTAGTTGAACTAACTAAGAGCCAAGTGTAGGTCTAAAATTCTTCTTTTTTTGTTTTTCAACAACATTAGGGTTAAGATTGTTGATTGACTACAACATGACATAACACATTCATTAACATCATTTATTCACCACATCATCTTATCATTCATCTACCACCATTTTCCATTATAAAATTCCATTAATTGTCGCTCGGAATGGTGGAAAAGGCGAAGTACGAGATGCTCCGACGCGGCGGCTACGAAATGGACGACGACGACAAGCAGGAAGTAGTTAATGAATGGATGGACTTGAAGGACAAGCAGGTGGAGCAGGAGATGCTGAAAGAAAGCAAACGCAGGAGCAGCCGGCTGAAAGGCGATCGTTTGAAGACCTGGTTGAAGGAGAAGGAGGTGCTGGCCAGGCGGAGCATCTTCCAGGAAAGGCAGAGCAGGACTCTGGAAGACGACGACCAGAAGAAGCAGGAGAAGACGAAAAAACGCGACGACCGCATGGAGTTCATAAAACAGACGGTTTCGAGGACGAGGAGAAAGAGAATCGCCGGAACCAGCAGGGATGAAACCAGAAGCACCAGGTCTAGCAGGGACGAAAACGCAAGCCCCGGAACCAGCAGGAACCAAAACTAAAGGCGACAATTAATTGGAATCCATTAAATCATACCTCAAAAAAAATCGTTTACTTGGCTTTGCGAACTTCCAGCTGCCACCCCGTAGGTTTCGACTTCGGCTATATCGGAAAAGTTTCCGGCAAGTGAGCGATTTATCCTGTTCAGTAAGTCGGATAAAAAGCGCGGTAAAAGAGTGCAGGATCGCCCTAAATACCGGCAGCGTATGACGCGCTAACAGCTTATGAGGTCGTTTCATCGGCGGCTAAGCGCTTCCAATTTTCCCATTCAATCGACCGGCGGCGGAGGATTCTCCTGCAATTTTTGGTAGCGGCGATAAAACCGGGACGAAACCGCCATTTAGGGCGTTCGTGAGCGTTGCGTGCAGGAGTTAATTTCGAGCGTGCAACGTGAGGTGTATAAAAAAAAATGAAAATCCTTATATCTATGTAGATTTGGATTGGTGGATTTTCTTACTATTATCGCTATCAGACTATTATTCGGGAATAGTACGTAAATATTAAATGCAGCAATAAAGTGCATATACTTGATTTACGACGTATAACCCTCGCATTATATATGCAACAATCCTCCACGAACATTTAACAGGACAATATAACCCTGATTAGGATAATGTTAATTGATTCCTGCATTCAGCATTGCAGTGTTACGTCTGATACCCCGATGGTATTGCCGCCTGTACCAATTGTGGAGATTGTCTCTCGTGTTCGGCTAATTTGTCACACGGAATCCGTGCTCGATGATGTACACAGATATATATTAAACTTCCTTATACATCTAAATATTATAGTAGAACAAACGGAATGTCGTTCGAGTCCAACTTGCTACATTAATTAGGTTAATTGCTAACAGAAAAAAAAAGAAGTGTAAATGTCATGTGTGAATGATTCGGAACATCAATGAGAAAAAATTAGAAGTAATGCAAAAGCGGCGGAAGATCGAGGACATCACGCCGGAGGAACGGGACTACAGGGTGAAATTGTGGAAATTCAATAAAGAACAGGAACTAAAGCGGAAGAAGGCGAAAGAGGAGAGAAACGTAGTAATGCAAATCGTAAAGGAAAACGAAGCGAGACGGAAGAAATTCGAATTGCTGAGGCAGAAGCGAGAAGAAAGGCAAAAGTATTTGGTAGATGGATTCGGTAGAAGAGTAGTACCGGTGAATTTACTCAAAATAACGAGACATCTTTAAGAGTAATCCATAAATTATTATTAACTTAAACTATTACCTTAAATTACTAACTTATATAATTAATCAAATACACCCTTATTTACATTCAAAATGAATAAAAATTACACAATTATTTCTATAATTTAAAAATCCAACAAATTTATTTTTTTAGCGTAAAATTTAGTTGATAAACATGTATGAGAGAAGGGTATATCCGTTGCGTCAAAATCGAAAATCCCCTTTAACTTTTGCAAAACGCAATTTCTACCTTTGCTTAAATGCCATCAGAAGTTGAAATGCACGCCGGAAGTTAGAAGATAAAATTGGAAACTGCATCACGTCAGTCTCCTGCTTCCTAATTGGTTGTTTTTACACGAAACGAACGAACTAACTCCGGGAGTTTATAATTCCGCTTTTCCCCAGCTGCCGATGCGACCCCGCGCGCTTTAATTATTCCATTTATTCGGCTAACGTCCGTTTTTTTCGTCAAAACGATTCGACGGCCGTGTAAAATAAACCTTTAATTGAGTTGGAAGTCGCCGAGAAAACTGCCCGGGAAATTAGAAAAAAAACAACCCCAAACAATCTCCGATTATTCATTGTCTTTCCCACCAAGGCGCTAAACCGATGGCGTGAGAATAAGTCGATGCGGAAAAGTCGGAACTTTTAGAACTTTACGTTTACATTATATAGTCGAGAAGCGGAGTCGTAATGCGCTTTTTTAAAATTCAAAATACTTCCTTATGCATTTCCATTATCCACCGCCCGAGGATGTTTCCTCCGAGCAATCTGCCGGCAAATTGCCTAAGATAATTGCCTATTTTAATACTTCAAATTGGCCCACCTATATACCGAGTATCTCCACAATATTACCTATTGTAGACCACAACAACAACTTCACCAAAGCTTCCTCCACAGCACCAATTCTTTCCCACATACTGAAAGCGAAATGCACCTATTGCAGTCGCGTTTATGAAGCAAAATAATCCAAAAATTGGTCCGCCTCCTCTAACTCCTCGTTGTCCCGGTCCCTGACGAGCTCACGTACTCTCCAAACGGGAGAGCTCCAGATGCGCGGCGCGTCGCGTATCAGCGCAAAAAATTGCAGCTATTGTTCAAACTAAATCATCGCTGCATACTCGATACAAGCGAAATGCGACGGGAATTCCCAAATTCGCCGCGAGATTTTTCGCAGTGGCGTCCCAACAAAGATCACCCGAACATAAGGTGCTGATGAAGATGTTGCGAATGAGAACGTGGAAGATATTGAATAATAATAATGGTGGAGTTTATAGGAAAAATTGTGTGTTGTTTACATGGAATGTAGGATGGGACGCTGGTGGTTGGGAAGCTTGGTCGAATCATTGTTTCTAATGCTGCAGGCAGCAGAAATGTGCTAATATTCGGGCCGGATTAGGCGTCTGGATGTAATGAATTGCACTGAATTATGGTATGCAGTGATTGTGACGGCTTAATTGATTGTGACCAAGTAGATTGTATGCAATGATATAGACTTATGATAACGCATTCGTAACCTATTGATTAGCCGCACTATAGTGGGGTAGAGATGGAATTGTTGACAAATGCAAATTGTTTTATTGAGGACGTCGCGTCGAGGTATTCGAACGTAATTTGCGACGATTGTTCCACAGGTCGGATTACACCCGAAGAATTCGACTGCAATTACAACGCCCAAACAATGAGATGGGTAATCTATCAAAATTGTAAAATCTTTTATAGTCAACCTTTGAGTCTTCGAAGAACGAAAAAAAAACCCAATTTGCTTACAGCTGGTGAAATAAAGCGGGGTTTCCGTTTGATCCACTTTAACGGAAACACCAGTAAGTTACTTACACTTGGGATGAGCATCAAAAATCCCCCGCAGTTCGCGTATAGAGTTCATAGAGAAACACCTTTCCGGTTTAGTCGGCGGCCGATCGAAGCGTCCGCTGAATGCTGATGCATCCCTTAAAGGGCGGATAAATTCCCTTGTTTCGGAATTCCGCCCGGCGATTTGTTTGCTTTATAGGCGATTCGTTCCGATTTCGGCGTCGTGCCTCGACCATTGTTCTTCGATTTAGGATCGCAGTTTATATACACGCTGCGACCTTTGCCCGTATTAAGGTCGATCGATTACCCGCCGCAATTACTGGCATTAAACTGCCGGGATCTATGGATGCACGAAGACGTTAGGGATGATTTAAATAGATGCCCGATTTTATTGGACAATTTTATTCGACGAAAATTATTGCTTAGTTGAAATATATTTGGTCCAGAATTGGTACGCCCGCGTTACGTTTTTTTTTTTGGAGCCACGGCAATAACTACTACAATTACGATGTGGAATAAAACTTTTGGTATTCCCGATAGGCGCTCTCACGTTTTCATTACATTTTCAATACTGGATTATTATTGGCAATACCGCATATATGCATTTTATAATAATCAAATCCCATTCATATGCATATTAAGTGGACTAAATTTGCGTATTGTGATGGATATTTTTTATAATATGGCGGGTTATAAACAAGAATTACAACGCCGCGTTGAATATGTATAAGAGGCGATTTTATTTTATCGATTCTACATAACGAATCGATAGAAAAATCTTCCAGAATGCCACGTTCCTACGCACTATTATAAATTAGTTGATCCTCTTAGAAGGCGCGCATAAAATTCCAAAGAGGAAATCCCCTTTTATTTCGGCTAGTGGAAAAGGTATTAGAGCGAAGGACTGGCTTCTGCTATGCGGGAAATCGGTTTCACCGCGAGAATTACCGGAAGAAAAAACCGCCGAGAACTAATTAATTTTTTCCTTTCAGGCAGTCGACCAAAATGAAATTGAGCAAAGTAGGAAACCAAACGAATTCGCAGGATCCGCAAGCCGTCAATTCGAGAGTGTTCGTCGGCAATTTGAATACATTCCAATGCACGAAGACGGACGTGGAGAGAATGTTCCAACGATACGGTCGACTAGCTGGTGAGATTCTTGATTTTTATTTATATGCACGATATGCGGGGCGTTTTGAAATTTATACCCAACAAAATTAAGGAGCAAACCCTGTAGATGAAAATGAATGTAGGTTTTTCATATAAAAAAATATACGCTGCCCTCTGAGATATCCCGTTCCTTGGAATCCCCTCTATGTCAATGAATTTAGGGCACAAAATCCATTCTCCCAATTGCACAATTTTTTCTCTTATAATTTTCAAGATCCCCGTTCTTTGTGATGAGGTTTTCCACGACTTTTGCGCGAGTAGTAGTCGAAAATTGTCGATCGTCGTTGCGCTAATAACCCGTAAATCAAAGAAAACCGTTCCCGACGTAAAGTAACTACAAACTCCTATGTGAAATACTACTCGCGGTCCCCGAGATACCAATCATGTTAGAGATGAGAAATGGATGAAGTCTCCAGTCAATTTATTGGCTACCCATCCAGAATCTAATCAAGGGAATTGGGTTAGTGATACGGAATTACTGGAGTCGGGCGGCTCCCCGACCCCTCGCCGCTAACCCGACGGTGTTCTGAACAATCTGAACAAAGATGATAAGACACTTCATTGGACGTATATACGAGTGAAATTGCGTTAGGTTAAAATACGATACAGGAATCTTTCCGGTTTCGATTGGATGTGCTTTTTTTCCGTTTCGATTCGACCGGCATAATTCGATAGAGGGGGAGAGGAAATGCGGAGAAATCGGTATGATGGAAAAACGACAAGAAAAGCCAATTTATTTGATATTAAATCTGGAGGAAACGGAGGAAAAATCGCGGTCGTTTTAATCGTAAAAATAAACCGGACTCGGACGGTTATTTCCTGGTTGTTCGTATAGAATAAAAAAACACAATAAACAAATAGGTAATTCTTACGATTTTTTTTCTATATCCATCCCTCCGCAATCCCCGATGAGCAAGCGTTGACGGATTTTTTTACCCGTCCAGCATCCGCTCGTCAATTATACAATAAAATACTCATTTAAATTGCATACCGTATTCAAGACTATATGACGTAAAAGCGGAACGCATCAATAATTCAATGTATAGAGTGAGTTTTTAATTGGTGGACAAGAGAATTGTATTTCTGTTACACGCCCAACCGTCAGCTGTACCAACATATGAATTGAAACATGAAATATTAAACAGATCGGGGAGCGAGAGAGCTCAAAAAAACCGACGCGAATACCCGGTTATTCTTTTATAATGCACCCTATACGTCCCGGTTTTTTTTCTAATTGTCACGCTAAATTCGTGATAACCGAAAGATGTAAAATTTTTGAATCATTAACAACATTCTCATTTGGAAAAAAAATAACGACCACTCAACGAACAGTTACACGTTTTAATGGACTTGTTCCTTTTTCGCCGTCTTAATGACGAACAAACATTTAATTTTTTATTAGAAACGATATAGCTGAAGATATATTAACCCATGTGTTGTCTAGTGAATTACCGCGTTCATAAAACTTTCACCGAGTTACTTATTTACCGCAAAACGTATACGTGCAGAAGCGGTGAATTATTGATTCGACTTATATGTATATATTATCCTACTTAATAGTATAATATTCTGTTAATTTGTACGAATCCCATTAAAGCGTCAAATGGCTGAATATGTATATGATTAAATTCATGAGCTCCGCCGTGCGCGATGCTCATTGTAAATTTAAAATCGATCAAATCAGGCTCGCAACATCCACCTTAACTCCATGAAAAGTTAATGCAGTTTTGTGTAGCACGCCGGGCAATCTATCACGATACATTTCCTCGACTCTTCTCCACGCGTTGAATTTTAATAATCGCGAATAGCAACGTTATCGCCCCGTCGATAATAAATTTAATATTCCCGAGCGTTTTGTAATAGAAATGAAAAAAAAATCAATTCGGACGGCCGAAAGACGCGCCCCTCGTTAGTACGACGAAATTACAACCGGACGTTAAACCGTTACTTTCCGATTATCTCGTTCATTATCGACCGAAAAAAAAACACGCCGAACGAAACCAACAAATTTTTATTAGCCGACGAACGTAAAGAATAAGAGGCGCACACGAAAACACGCGACCCCCGCATTCGCCCATTCGTCGTATCGACCTTTTAATACGTCGTACGCTTCGGCTATTAATTTCAATAAAAGTCCCCCTGAAATGTTTATCGAATCAACTGCGGAAACAACAAAACAACGCCGCAATGTGTTTACTTACCTCCGACGTTTCTCATTTTGTGACATCTGTCAGTTGTCTTCAGCCATCCAGTCATCTGTCACATAGCCTAAATCATCTCTCGACTGCCCTCACCTAGGAAAAATAATATATTGTATTAATCCCACCTCAATCAGAAAACGTATTTTATAATCAAAATTAATCTAAATCGTCTCTCAGCTGTTTGAAATTATCCTTCAACTGCCATAATTCATCTAGTACACAGTCGACTTTCCTAAATCATCTCTAAACTGTCCTAAATCTTCTCTCAACTGTCCTAAATAATCTCTAAAGCTGTCTTAAACAATCTTTCAACTGCTATAAGTCATTTTGTAAACTGTCGACTTTCCTAAATAATCTCTTAAATGTCATAAATCATCTCTCAACTTCCCTAAATCATCTCTCAATTGTCATAAATCATCTTTCAACTGCCATAAGTCTTCTAGACAAATGTACGATTTTCCGAAATCATCTCTAAACTGTCCTAAATCGTTTCTCAGCTGTTTTAAAACATCTTTCAACTGCCATAATTCATCTAGGACACAGTCGACTTTCCTTAACCATCTCTAAACTGTCCTAAATCTTCTTTCAACTGTCCTAAATAATCGCTAAACCTGTCCTAAACAATCTTTCAACTGCCATAAGTCATTTTGTAAACTGTCGACTTTCCTAAATCATCTCTTAAATATCATAAATCATCTCTCAACTTCCCTAATTCATCTCTCAACTGTCCTAAATCATCTTCCGTAAACATCTGTGATGTTTGCTATTTTCCTTTAGATTTTCCTGGAAAGTTACATTTGTAGCATTGCTCCGATTTTATGGGAATTAATTTCGACGGGGAAATGCCCGGCGCGTATACACGGAAAAGATCATTAAGTCGATATGAAATGCGGCAGGTTCGGGTGCTCCTGTTAGGGAAAATGTCGTAATTAAATTACTGCGCAACTGCTTCGAAATATTGAAATTTCATTCGAGTAAAAATATTCGCCAGGTATTGCACCTTTTGTTCCTATTTTACAGGTATATCGATGCACAAAGGTTATGCCTTCGTTCAATTCACCAATCCCTTCGACGCTAGAAGTGCCTGTTTAGGAGAGGACGGCAGGACCGTACTTAGTCAAATTTTAGGTGAGTTTTTAAAACGTTTTCTATTCATTTAGAACCTGCTTTAATTGACAAGACGTAGGAAGACAGTCCGTCAAATTGATTATCTTCAATATCGAATGTAAAATTACCGGTTAGGCGTTAGAACAAAGGGGGAAAATGCGCAAGAAGGGCGGCAAAAAGAGGAAGCAAGAGGAGGGAGATGCGGGAAAACCCGACGAAAGAACGGAGAAAATATCCAAGTGGCTGGCCGAGAAGGAGAAAGAGGCGACCGAGCGCAAGAAGCTGAAGCTGATGCGGAAGATCGAGGAGCAGACGCGCAGGAAGCTGCACGAGCTGCAGGAGGAGGCCTACGAAAATCGCAAATCGAAATGGACGGAGCTGCAGTTGAAGATACTGAATTTGAGGAAGCGCGTGCAACACGAAAAGGGAAAAGTATCGTAATAAATTTTTACGCCATCGTCATGGCATAAACGGAATTTTTACGACTATCTTAGGCGATTACGAAATTACAATGTTACAATAACGATTCTTTCGAATTGTATAAAAAAACCCTTTAAATAAATCGTAGAATCTCTTTATGAAATATCGAACTTTCCGTTCACGTTTCAATTCCATTAACTTTTTTTTTTCGGTCGCGTCGCGACTCCCCATTTGCATTTGAACTCTCGACTAACTAAAAGTGCAACACACTTTTTTAAAAATCGTTTAGTTTCCCGACGATTTACCACCGTCTTATTAACGAATAACAACCGCAAAGAATTCCGTCCCGTGGAAAAAGGCAGTCGGAATTTAAAAATTTTAAATTCACTTCATCCGCCGATAAATAACCCATAGAGGGATATATATTCTCGGATCGAATGGGGCCGGATTTGGCACGTGAACCGAATCGAAACTACGTCAATTATACACCTCATTTTAACCGTTTCGTGTTTTTATATATTTCGGATTTAAGGGATTCCCCGGACATCGAAGACGATATAAATTTATGAAGCGCTTTTCGCTTTGATTCCGGTAAAATTTAAACGCCTTATGCTGAATATTTCTCCGCTATTATACGCTTCAAAAATCCAAAACACAGATATAACACTATTTTAGAAACAATATTGTATCTTTTAATAAATTTTCGAGATTTTAACTGGTTAACAGCACGCTGTGTGTGACATTATTCGGTTATTTATGCAGCCTTCGATTTAAACGAATTCGAAAAGAACTAAGTTTAGTAACCGAATAACAACCGCAATGGCGTCTTCGGGCGTATATGCAGGAATTCGATATATCGGACTCCACCTGAACATCCCCCAGACGGACGCCCGGCCGAAAACTAATTTAAGTTTGAAATCCGATTCCGGAGGATTCATCGGAACCGGTTTACCGGCGCATTTTTCCTCGTCGCTGTTTTGAGTCCGGATCGTTCCGGATTAGATGGAAAAATTCGGACGGACGTTCCTGCTGGATTAGCGGCAGGCAGGACTCGCACCTGCACTAAGGAAACGTTTCTATTGTGTACAGGACTCGACCAGTATTCCCTTGAAAATTACAAAATCTTGCTTAAGATAATAACATAAGCTAGATGCATCGATGCATACATTAATCAATCATCCTGTAATTTTATTAACAAGGGAAGAAACTTTTTAGCGACCTTCTCTCGAGTGACCGAACTATTTTCCGAGTATTAAGAATTTAAAACTACCTCGATTAATTATAATCCGGCTCGGTCGTTTTTGCGAAATTTTATAAAGCAACTGCTCTCGAAACTTTCACAGTTTATTTTTAGAGGGAGTTGTTCGCGAAAAAAGTCGGTCTAAACTGTAAGAAAAACAACCGAACGGTCCATAAATTATTCTCCAAATGAGCCTTGTGGTTGGTTTGAACTATATGTATAAATAATGCGCGATGATAAAATTCCAATTATAGTAATATTAGAATGGAAGTTAAATTTAAAAGGAGAAATAAAATAAGTATAAAAGTTCGGCAACACTGCCTACTTGTGACGTAGTAAATTATAGGTGACATCAATTGAAATTTGTTTTGCACCGACTGTATGTATAATTGGCGGTTAAAAAACAATTAATTATTCGACGATTTTTCTAGTAGGTAACAGTCTCGTTTTAACAACCTTTTTCCACCTATAAAACGGCAATAATTCCGCGTCAGTTTTGAAGAATGCACGAGGAAAGTTGAAGTTGCGGGAAATAAACATATTTCAATTTTACGTTTACGGTATTTATACGGCCGGTGGGAATGTTTTCGCGAGAATTTACATATAAGACGCTTTTATTCGACGTTCTTTTTGCGCTCATTTCCACTCCCCATTATAGGCGTCTCGACTCGTCGAATCGGTGAAATAATTTGCGCTAAACCCGACCGCATTAATTGCGCATCCGGAACGGTACCAGGAACGACTTTTCCGTGGGAAAGCGCCCATCGCAGCGCTAAGTATTTAGTTTCCCTCTGTCTTACATAGATCATATGGCTTCGGTATTAACGGTCTAAAATACAAACAGTCGACCGATTACGTCCTGATAGTCGGCTATAAACATGACAACTTGATTTAATAAACCCCATGATAACTGTTCTTTAACATGAACCATCATTGTATTTTGCTCGAATAATAAATAGAGTATTTGATAACGAAGAAATAAATTGGGTTTTTAATACCTGTTACGCATAATTATGGTAGTATTTGCTAAGCTGATTCTATATAGTTCATACTGTACCGATTTTTTAGTTAACGAGTAATATTTCAAGCTAGTTAATGGATTCGTAGTATAATTTGTGGGTTGCGGTTAATTTAACGTATTATCGAGATTAGAGACTTTAACGACTTGTTCTAATGTCCCTTTTACTTCGGTGTATTTCCAAAACATCGACTAGCTACAAATCCGAAATCACGCGCTGCCTGTGCAGATACCGATCAGTGTTATGGAAATTACGTTAACGTGTTCTCTCGACAAAAACCGTAACGAAGTCGTTAGGCTCAGGGAAAAAAGTATAAATCCATTTTTTTTCAATTCATAGCATTATTAATTTGTAACAGCAACAGTTCGTCGAAACTCCACGAATCTAATTAAATTTTTAAGCGATCCTCTTACTTATGCATTTCAAAGCGTCAGCAATTTTTAATAAGCCTCTAAATATATACAATTTTCTTTTCCGAAACTCCCATAAATCATCGCCGTAATGCAGCCGAATTCGAAATTCGTTAAAATCACCTGTTAGGAAATTGCTAAATAAATAATGAATAAAAAAGAATCAACATCGAAATAGGGCCATTTATCATGTAAATAAGAGAGTCGTAACGTCGGAGCGCGTGTTAAAAAGCCCCTTTTCTCCGTCGGGGTCTTCATTTGCATTTTTCCCGAATCATTCGCATGTAGTCCACGGCCCGACCGTGAAAACCCCGTGTAACAACTCACGACAGTGCCATGTTCGCGGGCCGGCACCCACGACACTGCGCAGTTTTATTTACAGCGCGAACGAGCCTTTCAAAATGTCTATCCATAAAATTTTACGATTAGACAGATAACAAATTTCCCAACGAGAAAACCTTATTTACCCAACACATTTGAATACCTACCTCCTACATGGTTCTATTATTAAACTCTGCTTTATAGGCGCGCCTGTCGAAATTTAGGGGAAACCCCCGGTTACACTGATTAAGTTGTCTTCCTGTTACAACTATTAGTAACTTTTAGGGAACTATAGGTTATGTTGGTACTAGTGATTTCTTCAAATGGGCTTCGGAATAGATCCGGTAACATTTTGGTAAGTAAAAATCAGTCAACCGAACAAATTAATCCAAATAGAAATAGTTGCGAGAGGGAAAAACTAGGAGGTCACAATAAATTCGAGGAAAGTTCAACTTATTAAACTCAATAATGTTCCGGCGGCGGAAACTTTCGGAGCGTAGTAAAATAAGTCGTTGCATAGTTTCGCGCTCTCGGATGCGCAATTCTCCTTGCTGGCGCAATAAAGGAATTGGAGTGGAGCGAATGCACTTTTGTTGGTTTAGTTTCGGAATGCGGAGTTATGTTAACCAATGACCAATAAGTCGCACGCGAGCCCATCGAAATGAAACGATCCTATATAATAGTTGTCATCAGTATATTTATGAATGCGTTAACAGTAAGCGAACAGATCCTTCCTCTTCTTCTTTTTGGGAGCGCCATCTTGACCCTATAGATAAAAACAAAATATGTATTTTGTAAGTAGTAATAAGAACAAGTATGTACCCCTTTTCCTTTCTTCCTGCGCTTCTTCTTGCCGCCTTTCTCGTACTTCTCCTTGCCGCCCTTCTTCTTCTTGCTCCATCCCAATTTCCTGAACTTGAACTTCCTCCTCAGATAGGCGAGCCACTTCAGTCGCTCTTCCCTGGCTAGCCAGAAGGCCTCGCGTTTGGCGCGCAACTCGAGCTCCTTCTCCAGCTTCAGCTTCTTCTCGAGCAGGTCCTCGGCTTCGAACATTTTCATGTACTGCCTCAGCTTACGGTCGAACCATTTTTTCACCCTCTCGATCCGCGTCTCGCGCGACAACGCCCATATGTCGACCCGTTTGCGCGGTTTGATGGGATACTTGGAGCCGCGCTTTTTGCGTTTTTTCTTCTTCTTCACCTCCGGCTGGTCGAAGGCGAGGTCGAGATCGAGGGTATCCACCGCGAAGGGATGAAAATGGGATTCTTAAATGATAATGATGACAACTATCTTTTGGATGGATGAAATGATGAATGAGAATGGATGAGTTTGTTTGACGTTGTGTTGTCATATTTTCCTGTTGTTCTTTTGTCGAGTTTCGATGGGCGATGGGATCGAGAAGAGTATTTTATTTATAAATCAAAAATTTGCGTGGGTATACTTGAACTCATTTTATTACGTTACGTTTTATTATAAATTATACAGTATTACAATATGTACTTTCGTTTCTTCAAAGGTTTCTTTAGCAATCTTTCGAATTCCAGTTCCCTCTGTAATTTGATCTTTTCGCGTACATCTTCGATTTTTTTCTTGTTTATTTGCGTCTTCAGT